GGCGAACGAAAATGTAAAAATTTTCTTGAACGTAATACAACCGAAAATATTGCAATCAAAATGAGAAGAAAAATGAACAATGTACCAATAACAATACCAGCAACTTCTTGACCAGAATAAGCAGCAGCAGTTACTTCTAATCGTCTTAAAACGGTTAATGTTACATTTGCTGATACGGTTCCAGCTTTATTATAACCAGTACATACATAGCTATGAAAGAAATAAAGAAAAAGAAGAAAATTAGATTAGTTCAGATAATGATTATTATCAAAAAAAATTTTATTATAAACAGTGTGGTTCAAAAAAAACAAATTTCCTTCAATCTAACCCTCATTCATATCAACGAAAAAAAAAATGAAATTCCCATCAAAAATCACTGATGCAAACCAACAACAACATCAACAACAACAACCAGAAAAGAAAAATCAAAAGAATCCTAAGATGCGTGACGAATAATTATTATCATTACAATATGAAAAAAATATGCAGAAAAAAAAGGATTCTTGGTCGCAATTTTCAACATCGAAAAAAAACGAAACCTATATATGATGGAAAACAAGAAATTCATCAAACACACCATTATAACAAGCCCAGAATCCGTGTGTGCATAAATGACTCATCATCCAATTTATATGTTTCAAAATCAAGAATGATGATGATGTAATGAGAAGAAGAAGAAGAAGAAGAAAATTTATTATATGATTAGATTATCGGTATAATTTCTCGCTTGGATTTTTCTCTTTACCCCAAACATCATCATCAATGATAATTTTTCTACATTAAAATGAATATGAATGGTAAATGAAAAAAAACCATGATGAACATTCATGCAAATAAATAATAATAATAATATTATTATTGACTGCTTTGCTTTGCTTTTGCTTCTTCATATGACATGTATGAATTTCATAAATTTTCTTGGTTATGATTTTTTCCTTCTTGGTTGCTTCTATGACTGAATGAGAATAAAATGTCAACGGGAATGAAATGAAATGAAATATACAATGAATTTTCTCGTTTCTTCCATTGCAATTCAATCCATAAATGAACTTTTTATTCGCCAAAGAAATAACCGTCATCACTATCATCGTTGAATTGTATTGTACCAAGTATTGAATCCCCGACCATGGATACATTTTCATACTTGTCATGATGATGATGATCATTATTATCTAACAAAAAAACCCTCTCCAGAAAAAGAAGAATATTCAGAGTAAAAAGAAAAACTGACTGACTGACTGATGAATTATAGTACAATTTACCCGAACCGACAGTCATAGAAGACAAGAAAGATTGTCTTAGGATTTTTTGCTTTTTTCTTTTAAAAAAACCAAATATTTCATTTTGATGGGATAACCCTATTTTTTTTTTGTTTTTGTTTGTCTGTATGAAAAAATCGACGGGATAACAACAACAACAACAAACGATATCCCGAAAAAAATGCACAACTTACTGGAAAACAGTACGGATTCTTATTTTTTGTAAGAAAATATTTGAGACTTGAGATTGACGACAATAGAGAAACAACAACAACAACCCGAAAAAAAAACAAAAGAAAAATGGCAATTTGGATGGAAATGAAATTAATTTGAATCAAAAAAAAATTGTTCTATCTGGTTTTCGGGAATTTTTCAAGAATGTGACACGAGGGTCGGGTATAATAAACAACAACAAAAACATTAACACTATGTGTGTGTATCCTTTAACCCATTTTTTCGTGTTATGTGTGTGTGTGTTTAGTTCCATCATTTTCATTTACAATCATTTTATAACAAGATGCTCTTGAATATTAAGTTGAGAGTAAAAGTACATTATGGTCATTTTTTTCTCTTATTGTTTGTTTTAGTCTTTCATTGATTCTTTAATTTCAACAACATTCAAGGAAAAATTCCAGAGAAAATGTTTGTTTGTTTTGTTTGATAATCTCAATCAAGATTATTGCCTGTTTAAAAAAAAAACAACAACAACATAATATACATTCATTTAGTTAAGAAGAGACGATATATGAAAACCAATGGGAAAAAAACTACAGAATTATATAGTAGAATTTAGTATTATAAGGACATACAGAAAGCGTCTGAAACAAATATTTACATAAAATTCAATTAAAGCCAAGATTGTAAAAGAAAATAATAATAATAATAAAATGATGATAATAATACTTAATGCCGACAAGATAAGAGAAAAAAAATGAATGTTTGAAATGAAACAAAATGGAAAAATATTACATAATAACAATATATAAACATGTCAAAACATGTGTATTGAACATTTTTGTTTTTTGTTTTTGCTTTTTGTATAATAATGATAATAACAATAGAAAAAAAAGCTGATTTTCTTTTAAGATTCACATTGGACATTTTCAAATGTTATTTGAATTTGTCGTTTTGTAGTCTTGCTTTGTCTTGTCTTTCTTTCTTTCGAGAAGAAAAAAATTATCAATGATTCCTCACACACACACATTGGTAGATTGTTTTGTTTGATAATCAAACAAAAAATTGTGATCCAAATGATTTTTTGCGAATTTTTCAACACAAACACGCACACACAGATAGTGAGAGAAAGAAGAAAGCAAAACACCGAAAATAAAAACGACTAAATTGTTTATCTTTTGGCCAATAAATACCCAACCAACCAACGAAACAAAGAAATCCAGAAGCCCAAAATCAAATCAAAAACGCTAATATCATTTAATTTTGCACTTTTCTTTCTTTACACTTTTCACATTTTATTTTTTGATCGTTTGTTTAGTTGATTTAATTTTTTTTCGTTTTGGTTTTTATCAGATTTGATTTTAATTTATAATTCAAACAAACATTGAACAAAAGTCAATAAAGCTTGGCACCAAGAGAGAAATGTCAATGAAGATGATGATGAGAAGAGAGAATATAATTGACATAAACGCAAACACAAACACACACCGAGAGAGACACGCAACCAGAATATAATTTACTCCAAAAATCAATGAAAATAATTTTGCGGCAAACAAAATGGGCAACGAAAGAACAAACGAAGAGAAAAATATGACCGTAAAAATTTTTTGAAGACAAAAACCGAAATGGTGAAAATTTTCAAGTTTTTCGATCTATTTCTGGCTATGTAAATCCAACTGTATAGAGACAGACAAATGTGAATTTTAGTTTTCTTTTTCTGTTTCAACTACAATTAGTCAATAGTGAACGAACGAAAGAGAAGAGAAAAAACAAAAGTTTCGATCAATTTAGACAAAATTCGTGTGTGTGTGTTTGTGTGAACGTATGTGCCGAAAACAGAAAAACAAAAACAAAAAAAGCTAATTGAAAATTCCATACAGAATTCAGGACACACACAATGAATGAATGAATAAATAAATGAAACAAACAAACAAAAAAGTGGAAAAAGGGAGATAAATTCTCCATACAAACACACACA